ATTAAATTTTCTTTGGTGGATTTACACATCATTAAAATTAAAAAAAATCAAGTGATTTGCTGGCATCTTAACGAGCCATCTGTCATTTAACTGATGGAAGGACCATTTTGGTATCAAAAATGAAAGTTTAAAGATAATTTTGGTACTTTTTAAAACTGAGGGACAATTTTGATGTCAAAGTGAAAAGTTGAGGGATCAAAATTGTACTTAAACCTAATAAGAAATGAGCTCTTGGAGATATTGTTGGAGGAAATAAAAATTAACGTTTGGGGAAAACGCATTCTAGAACTCGACCATAAATTATTTTCTAATCCCTTGCTTTGCATTTTTATTAGATTTATTAGTGCTATTTCAACACACTTTTTTTTAATTAATTTCCTGCGTTTAATAAGCAAAACGCAAGAATCTACCTGCGTTTTGCCAAATGCCACTAAAATATAGCCAGTAAAAACCAAAAAGAAGAGTTAGCTGGCATTTGGTACAAATGCAAAAAATAAAATGCAGGCAATTAGCATATTTCTTGTAGTGTTTTAAAGTTAATTAGGTATTTAATTGAGAATTTTTTTAATTAATTGAGTATTTATTGAGGATTTTTTTTTTAAATTTATTAATTATTAACTTGAGATTCTATATTAATTTCCTAGTTTATAGGTCCTACATCCTTTATGTTAGATTTAAAAGATACTCTCGTCTAATTTAGCAGTCTCACTCTTCATTTCAACAAAAAAATTTTAATAAGATATTAAATGTTAATATTTTGATTTTACCTTAATTATCTCAAAAAAGATAAAAATGAGTTAGGATTTTTTTTTATTTAATTGTAAATAAAGTAGAAAACATATATAAGTATCAATTAATGTAATAAATAATTGGTAATAAAAAAATAGATAAAGTGAGACAATTAAATTAATTTAGATGGAGTATTTTTCTTAAAAAATTATTAGGTGATTATTGAGGATTTTTTAAAAGTTTTTTGGTTATTTATTTAAAAATTATGAGAAATTTTATTGTTACAATGATTTTATAAAAGAATAGTACGTATTAATCTTAAATTTAAAAAAATTAAAGTTTCAACTTACATTAAAAAATCAAAATCTTAATTCAAAATTTAAAAATTCATCCGATTACATATTCTAATATAATCAATTCATAAATTTAGATGTCAACATTTAATATGGTAAAATTTTAAATTTTAAATTGAGTTTTAATTAAATAAAATGATATCATTTAATATTTCAACTCTAATTTTTAAAAAAAACTGAGACTTGATTTGCACTTTTTTTATTTTCTAATATATAGTTAAGGTTAACATAAGATAAGATATTAATAAATTTATGTAACCATAAGAAATTTATATGTGGCCATAGTTATTCTCTTGATACTATTTCTTTTATTTTAAAATAATTTATTTTAAAATTTGTTCTAAATTCATTGATTTTTTTATTTTTTAAAATAAATAAATATTTTTTCTTACTTTAGCTCTATCATTATTTATTTAATTAAATTAATTTTTTAAGCCCAAAAAATCTCTCTTTGCCTTTTATTTCTTTTTTTGGGAATATTATAAATAAATATAATTTTTTTTATCAATAAATAAAATATTATTAAAGAGGTATAAAAAGTACCTCAAATTCATTTTACATCAACACAAAATTTCAAAATAAAGATTTCTATTTTAAAGTCTACATTTGAACGTTGCAGCATCTTTTACTGGTTAACTGCTTTAGCACACTCCGAGGGATTATTTGACCATCCATGTAAAGAAAATGTAAATCCCTTTGCCTTTCCTTTTAACCATATAAATGTTCTAATTTGAATGACTTGGAGCTCCACCATGCAGATAGGTCGCGCGCCTCAATGAAGGAAGTGTGAGATCACTTGTTCTAAGAATTGAATTCCCAATTGCTAATAATTCCTAACTTAATTACTAACTACTATTTTTGTTAAAAAAAAAAAAAAAAAAAAAAAAGACTTGAAATGTGCTTACCACTGATGCTTCTGTTGTTCTAAAAAAGAGATTGTTCCGTGCACTCCAATGTGACCATGAGATGACAACAAAGACAAAAGACCACACGTTTTGTATCTTTGAATTGAAGAACCCCAAAGCCACTTGTCTATATGCCTCCTTAATTGTATTTGGAAGCATAGTCACGTATCCCCACCAATTGAAGCATTTCATCCACACTTGATGGGCAAACATGCAAGAAAGCATGACGTGTCCTTCATTCTAGATGGACTTCTCCTCCGCATTTCCCGCAGCTATCAACTCCTCCTTCCAGTTGAAAGTAATATTATTAATATCGTGCGGTGCCAGTTGATATAGTAAATATGTATCAATTTTTTTATTAAATTGAAACGATATATAATTTTATTTTCTGTTATTGTTTTGACTGAACTTGTGTTCTTGTGCTTCTATATTCATTTGTGACTTCGACGCTAATTTTACGAGACTGAAATTAGGTAACTTATGAATTCTGGCAATTCTAATTCTAGTGAAGAGTTTTGTTCTCCTCTCACCTTCTCTAATTTAGATTTAAGCCCTCTTAAGGAGGTTAGGTTTAGGAGTGACAATGACATTGAGCATGAGTAAGAATTTTTTGAAGATCCTGACTACATTACCCCTTACTCCGTGCAATGAAAGTTACGAAACTGAAGAAATATCTTCTAAGGATACGTTGAGTGTTGGAGGAAGCGAGGAAGTGAGGGCTTTAAAGTACGATGATGGGGGCATGAAGAGTGGGCTGTCTGGGTTAAGAGAACTGAGGACGAGGTGGGTGGGAAAGAAATGGTTGAGGGTAAGAGAGAAGGAATACCCTCAAATATTTTGGAAATTAAGGGTTGGGGTGATAGGTGTTATGATGTAAAGGTAGACATTGTCTCTCAAGTGAAGGGGTATGCGAGTGAATTGTTTACTAGGGATAGCCTTAGTTACCTAGTTGAAACTTATGACCTCCCACACCAAGTTTGATTAGGCTTGCTAGGGTGAAGGAAAGAGCTTGGTCAACACCCCAGGACCATTGGATGCCCATGTATGCTCATTATTTAACAGTAGGGCTTAGGTTTCCAATTCCCAAACTTCTGGTGGGGTTGTTGTTAGATTACAATATAGGTTTAACACAACAGGCCCCAAATGCTATGAGGGTAATAATAGGTTTTCTCGTTTATTGCTGAGCTCAAGGGGTTAAGGTCCCAACTATAAGTATGTTTAAACATTTTTTTGTGATAAAGGGTGGCAGTAAGAAAGAAAAGAGTTGGTACTATTTTACACCTCGAGTGTCAAATAGGGAAAAAATGAACTTATTTAGTGTAGGGCCTTCATCCATTAAGGGATGGAAGGAAAATTTTTTCTTTGTTGATGATATTGAGTGGCAAATGAGGGATGCCGAAGTAGAATTTTTGTCTAATTGGAAGGCTAAAAAAGCCAACTAGAATAAGTAAAGTTTAAATAGTAATAAGGAGAAAGAGGTGGAGAGATTGGTGAGAAAAGAGGGTGACATTTTGGATATTATGTTCCTCACCAGCTCAAATGTCATAGAGGCTGCTGAGCTTTATGGGCCTAGCTCGTTGAGTGAAGGTGTGTTTGTGTTTTGTATTATGTGTTTTAATGTTAGGTTCTGACATTTGTTTTTAACATTTTTACTATTTTGCAGTTGAGATGGATAAATTTTTGGGTTCTGCTAGGGGGTTAGCTATTCCCAAGAACCGAGGAAGAAGTCAAAGACTTCTTAGAATGTTGCAAGTGACAGAGGGGCTGGAAATAAAGAAAGGGAGCAGCTCTCCAGTGCATCAGCCATAGCTTTGGTGGTTGATTAGCCAAGGCTGGAGCTCAAACAAAAAGGAAGTGAAGATCTAGAACCGGCTTAAAAAAAGAAGAAGAAAGTAAGGGAGCCAGAGGTTAGGGGAGACAAGGTGGTAAAGTTTGTACCTCGACCTCTTCTTGTTGAGCTTGATCCCGAGCTCAGAGAGACTGGAGTTATAACCCACGGCAAGGGTAAAGCTCTCGTTCCTACTCCTTCCTTCCAGAGTAGCATATTTGAGAACAAGACTATGTTAGCAGCGAAGAGATTTATAAACTCATATGTTCCTGAAGTGGATCGCCGTCGAGCAAGGAAGGAAGCGTTGACTCATGGAGGGAGTTCAGTTGTTAAGCATGCTTTTGAGGTAAGCTAAGTGACAATATTTAGTGTTTTTTTTTCTTTTTAACTTGTATTCATATTGCAGACTATAACCTGAGTTAATATGCTAGCCCATAAGTTCATGGAACTCGTCAAAGAGCGCAATACCTGGCAAAAGTAGAAAGATGAGCTGTAGAAGAAGAATGGGGAGATGCAGAAGCAGTTGGATGAGGGAGTACCAACAGTGATGAGTTTACAAGACGAGAGAGACTCGCTGAAGATGATTCTTTTATTTGAAGAAAGGAAGAGGACAATGTACGAAGAAAAGATTGAAGCACAAGAAAAAGAGATAAAGAAAATGAAAGAATCTAAAGCTGAGCTCAAAAAGAACGTGAAGCTATTGGTGCATAACGGGATGGAAGAGCACATTGCCAAGTTCATCAACTCCAGTACCTTTGACAATATTGTCAACCTCTATTGACTGCCTAACGCGATCCTTGCCTTCACCAATTGTAGAAAAAAGGTGAAATCTCAATATCCCGAAGTGGATCTAACGAAGATCACCTTTGGCGAACAAGAGGAAAGCGTGGAGGAAGACGGTGAAAGTATGTCGGCTGACTTCCGACCTTAGATTAAGTTGAGATGGGATCGAGATGAAGAAGGTTGTACTATTTTTCCTCCCAACTTTAACTTCGAGTTTGTCGCAGTGGAGGAAGGCGAAGTAGAGGTAGGGGGTATCGAAGTTAAGGAGAGCCAACCACCTCTTCCAATGGAGGTCCACCAAGTTCCCTCAGAAGAGGACTAGCCATCTCTTCTTACAGAGAACCAACTTCCTCCCCCAGTAGAATGAGCTTCTACTTTTTATTTTGTGTTTAAGTTTGAACAATACAACTATTTTGTTTTGAATATTTTTGTAAGATTTGATTTAACAATTTATATATTGAGGATTTGTTTCAAGATTTATTTTGTGTTACTGTTAAGTAAGAACTGAAATAGAAGAAATCACTTCAAATGTGAAGTGAAATTCGTTAATAAAAGTGAAGTCCAAGGAATGAAATGAATAACAAATTGACCTCGAATATACATTCTAAGGAATTAGATTTATCTCAGACGGAGGAATGAATAAGTACCGAGTAAAATAAGACAAAGTTTACTGAAACAAGTGGATTAAGGGTAAAATTTCTTCAAATTGTTGACATTTCAAACCCTAGGAATCTTTTTTCCTTCAGTGTCTTAAAGGATATAAGCACTTGGGTGTGACACTTTAGCTACAGTGTAAGGGCTTTCCTAGTTCGGTGCTAATTTGCCAAATCGAGTTTCGAACCCCGTTAGATTAGCCTTCTTGAGGACAAGGTCTCCCACTTTAAATGTTCAAGGTCGAACTCGTTTGTGGTAGAAGTTGGCTAATTTCTATTTGTATGCCAGAGTTCGAAGTCATGCTTTCTCTCTAACTTTGTTAAGGAGGTCAAGGTTTTCCCGAAGCAGTTGTCTATTTCGTTCTTCATCAAAATGGGTGTCCCTGAGGCTTGGCACTCCTATTTCAATAGGAATAACTACTTCAGTACCAAAGGCCAAATGATAGGGTGTTTCACCTATTTCATTGAGTTATAGTTTTAGAGTGTGCTTTATATGTTATGCATATTTGGTCTAGAGTGAAGCATGAAGCAATAAAAGAAGATATAAAATAGTAAAAAGTAAATTAGATTGGAAAAAGTACATGTGGCAGTTCGACTCATAGTTCTATATGCCTAGAGAACGTTGAGCTCGTCTGCCCACCTGACCTTATGCTACTTTAACCTTGGCTTTATCCCTTCTAAGATAGCTTTATTAACAAATTCCACCATGCCATTAGATTCGGGGTGGTAAACTGAGGTGAATTGCAGTTTAATTTCGCAACTAGAGCAGAAGTCTCTAAACGAGGAGCGGTTAAACTGAGTTCCATTATCAGCCACGATTTGATTCGAGATTCCATATTTGCAGATGATGGTACTAGAAACAAAATCTTTAACCTTTTTGGAAGTTAGGCTGGATCAAGGTCGAGCTTCAACCTATTTTGCGAAGTAGTCAACACCAACTATCAAGTGTGTCACTCCCCCAACTCCCGTCATTGAGCGAATGGCCATGGTGCTACCAAATTTGTCAATTCTTCTGCCGGTTAATGAGTTAAGTGTGCAAAGAATTGGCATTTTGGGCATTTCTGCACATAATTTATGGTATCCTTGTGCATATTAGGCCAGTAGTATCCTTGTCTGAGTACTTTGTGAGCTAGAGTTTTAGCACCAATATAACTTCCATAGACACCTTCATTTACTTCCCAAAGTGCGTATTTAGCTTTATAAGGGCTCAAGCACCAGAGAAGAAGAAGTGAGAAAGATCTTTTGTACAAGACTCTGTAAAAAAGGGCATACCGAGATGCCTTCTTCCTCAACCTCATCTCTTCTTGTTTATCTTCAAGTACTAACCCATCTCGTAAGAAAGACACAATTGGAACTATCCAACTCGGCATGTTCAAATCTGTGCTAATCTCCATAATCCTTGGCTTTTGAAAGCTACGCTCATCTAGAATCTCAACAAAAATAGATCTTCTGCCTCAGGAGCTATCAGAGACGAACTTGGAGAGTGAATCTACTTGTTCTTTTTCGACCCGAGGTATTTTGCTAAGGCAGAATTTCTCAAACTTGCACTTCAATTCAGCCACCAAAGATGCATACTTCATCAAAATGCGGTCAACCGCTTTACAAACTGAGTTGACCTGATTGACCACGAGCTATAAGTCACTATAAATTTGAATTATCGTCACTTTCAGCTCCAATGCCAACTATAGACCAAGTAGCAGAGCTTCGTATTCGGCTATGTTATTAGTTGCATCGAAGTTGAACTTCAAGGCATGCTCATTTCGGTAACCACCTGGCCCTACTAGAACAACTCTAGCTCTTGACCCCTTACTATTTGATGCTCCATCGACATATAGAATCCAAGTATCTGGCTCAAAAATGGAACTTTAGTGGCCTAAGGTGCATTCAACAACAAAATCTGACAATGCTTGAGCTCGAATTGTTGATCTCTATTCAAAAGTTATCTCAAATTCCCCCAATTCAACTGCCCATTTGATCAATCTTCCTGAGCACTCTGGTTTTTGTAAAATCTACCGAAAAGGTTGGTCTGTAAAATCAGTAATAGAATATCTCTTTTCTACTCCATGTAGTACCTTACTAGTATAACAAACTAGCTTTTGTTGCTTACCCTCTTCTCTCATCAGTACTAAACTGATTGCCTCATCTAAGAGGCCGAGGTACAAACAAAGAATCTCTCCGTCAACAGCTTTTGTCAGCAAAGAAGGTGAACTAAAATAAGACTTAAGCTCATCGAATGTAGCTTAGCATTCTTAATTCCATTCAAACCTCTTTTGCTTGCCAGATTCATTGTTCTGTACTGTTGATCTCATGATCTTGAAGAATGGGAGACATTTGTCAGTAGACTTCGATATAAATTTATGAAGAGCTGCTACTTTTCTTGTTAACCTCTATACATCTTTTACTGACCTTGGCGGCTCCATTTCTTCTATTGCTTTGATCTTCTTTGGGTTAACCTCAATCCCCCTTCTAGATACCATGAAGCCTAGAAATTTTCCAAACTCCACACTGAAAATGCATTTTGTTAGGTTCAGCCACATTCTATTCTTCCTCAAATTATTGAATGTTTTATCGAGGTCAACTAAATGGTCCTCAGCTTTCATACTCTTCACCACGACATTATCGACATAAACTTCTAGGTTTTTGCCGATCTAAGCTCGAAACACAATAGTCACCATTTTCTAATAAGTGGCACCTATGCTCTTTAAGCCAAAAGGCATCATGGCATAACAATAAATTTCATCACCTGTATAGAACGAGGTTTTCTCTTCATCCTTAGGAGCCATCGAGACTTGGTGATAACTAGAATATGCATATAAGATACTCAATCTCTCATTTCTAGAAGCTGCCTCAACCAGTTTATCAATATTCAGCATCGAATAATAGTCTTTGGGACAAGTCTGGTTGAGATTTGTGCAATCAATGCACATTCACCACCTGCCATTTGCTTTCTTGACCAGTACTGGATTGGTTACCCACTCATAGTAATCAACCCTTCTAATAAAATCAACTTGTAGGAGTTTCTTTACCTCTTCCTTTATTACCTTAAGCCTCTCCCCCCCCCCCCCAAGAGGCGCCGCTTCTGTGTTACTAGTTTCTTCAACGAATTGGTGTTGAGATACCGAGGTTGAGATACCTAGCATGTTTGCTGAGGTCCAAGCGAAGGCATATTTGTTAGTTTAGAGGAAAGCCATTAACTATGCTTTTTCCTCTAGGTTCAAATGAGTTCTGATTTGAGTCTTTCTGTTCGGATCTCTGTCATCAATTCGTACTTCTTCAACATCCGTAACTGGAGCAGCTTGGGTTTCATCTTCAGGTCGATTATCAAGTATCTCAAGCCCCATCACTTGGTTGTTGTCATGAACTTCTTATGGGGCGTTCTTCGATGTCTGATCCTTTCCTTTCAAAGGCCTCGTAACCGAAGTAATATAACAATGCCTAACTACTTCTTGATTGCCTTTCAATGTCGCTATCCCATAAGGGTAAGGAACTTCATGTAGAGATAAGATTGAGAGACCACTGCTCAGATCTTTGTTAATATAGGTTGACTAATAACAACATTGAAAGACAAAGCCATTTTGACAACCAAAAACCGAATGGAAAGAGTCACATAAGTTCAGCCATTCCTAAAAGTAACATTGAGGGTAAAGACCTCTTCAACTTGAACAGGTTGGTTGTTGAAGCCATATATAGGACCATCATACTTCTGTAGCAGAGTGAGATCTAGCCCTAGACTCTCAAAATAATGATAATACATGATATCTGGTCCATTACCTGTGTCAACAAGGACATGCTACACCTCATAGTTGTTAATCATAATAGAAGTGACCAATGGATCATTATGAGGCGATATCACCCCATTGAAGTCAACAGGTGTAAAAGTGATTGGTTGATTCTTCCAATCAGCATCATCAAGCTTTCGTTTCTGAGCTCAATTTTGGTGCTTCACCTCTCTGACGTATAACTCTCTCTGTTTCGAACTTAGACCTCTTACCTCCAATCCCCTTGTAATCATATGAATAATCCTAACTGGTGGTGGGAGTGGTGGTGGAGCTTGCTGAAATCCCACTCCTTGCCTATTTCCTACGATACGGGACCCCTGTGGCTGCGATCCCTGCTCCCTTACAAACTTAGGCTGCTTTGTCTTCTGGATGTATTCATTCAACATGCCCTTCTGGTCTAAACTTTCTAATTCAGACCTCAAACTATTATATTCCTCCATTGTATGACCATGATCTTGATGAAAATCACAATATCTAGTGTGATCCCATGTGGCAGCAGAACTTTTCATCGGCCCTAGTCGCCTCAAATCCATCTTATTCTTAATCTACATGAATATCTGCAACCTCAACAGATTAAAAGGAGTTCATGTAACTAGTGCTTTGCTAGGAGTTTGTTGAGGAGGTACTGAGTTCGGTCTTCCGATTCTTAGTGTGAAGGTTGACATCGGACCTCGGTTCTGTATTGTCTTCAACTGTTTCCTGCTTTGGCCTTCCTCTCTCTAAGCCGGGTTTTGATTTCTAACAGGAATTGGTTTCTGTGATAAAGCATATTTCTCAACAGTTATGAATTTCAGAGATTTATCATTAACCTTGTTAAAAGTAGCAAAGGGATGCTTAATCAGACTATCATTGAATCTTTCATGGTTAAGACCTTAGATCATAGCTGCAATTCCCATAGCTTAATCAAATGAGCTAACCTCTAGAACTACATAATTGAATCTACTCATGTAATTCTTCAGAGATTCCCCATCCATTTGCATGGCTTGCATCAGTTCAGATGTGGTTTTCCTAATCAACCTCCTACTAGAAAACTTTGTAGCAAAAGTAGAAGCCATCTCTGTATAAGAGCTAATAGATCTCGGAGGTAGACTGTAATATTAAGTTCGAGTGTTACCTCGAAGAGTAGAAGGAAAAATTTTGCACATCAAGGCATCAGAGGCATTCTGAGCTTGCATACAGGAGTAGAAAGCATGTTGGTGAGCATCTAGGTCCTTCGTTCCATCATATGTCTCGAGTTGAGGAATTTTGAAACCAACAGGGTAAGGTTCCAAAGTGATGTTGGTGTTCAAGGGATGGGGTATTAAAGTAGTGTTATGCTGGAGAGGTGAAGCATCTCGCTGTTCTACCACCATCTTTTCTAAACTATCTAGACATCGTGTGACATCATTAGGTAGAGGTTGCTGGGGCAGGGCCACATGAAATTGACCTTGAGATTCACTAAGGGCAGGAGCATGTTGATGATCATTGGAGCGAACTTAAGGAGGCTTTTGCGGTTGAATTGAAGGTTGCTGAGTTGGGTTCAATAGATTGATCAGGGGATCACTAAGGTTATTCCGAGCCAAGAGTTGAGCCAAAACCAACTGAAAAACACCGAACTACTATTGCATTGCGACAAGCTGAGCTGAGACTTCATCACCTCAGTTAGGGGTGGGAACAGAGTTATGTGGCAGTGGTTGGTTCTCATCACCTTCTTCTGCATGTTCCACAAGAGCAAATAGATTTAGGGTATGAGGTGGAAAGTTATTTGGTTGTTGGGCTTGACCTCGACCAAGAAGTTGAACTCGACTTCCAGTTTGGACGGATCGAGTGTTGACCATGGTGAAAAAGCAACAAGAGAGGTTTTAATTCAAATTCCCACAAACAATGCCAAATGTAATTGCAACAAACTAGGAGATCTTCTTCAGTCCAAATCTTCTCTTCGGGTTGACCTACAAAGCCTCGAGGTGGTTTCTCGGGGTAGACACGCCGATGCTTAAGTCAACAATAATCGGGTCTACTTTATAGAATTATGGAAAGAGAAGCTTTTAGGTCAGTTTCAATTGCCTTTTTGAGGTGGGCTTGGGGGGTATTTATAGGCCTTAATGAGGTGTCTACGTGGCTTGCTTAATGATATAATCGGAGTCTGGCGCGTCCCTTTAGGTGATGATCTCAAGAATGGGAAATTAGGTGTGAACATGCCCACTATTCCTGTCATGCAGCTGTTTGACCGAGAAGGACTGAATATAAGCTTCGCCTCAGTCATTAAAGAAGTGTAGCAGTACGTCTGAGGTCCTTAACCTCGAACCTATCCTTACACCTTTTTACAATATATTCTCCAATATTATCATACTTCCAAATCCTTCTATCTCTAATCCCCTCCCTCACCCAAACCCCTTCTAACATTTCTATCAGTAATTTTTCATCCTCACATTCCCTCCCAAACAAAGTTCTTCTCCAATCATTCCTCCACCTCCAAACCCCCTCGCTCCAACACCCCATCTTAGTAATGTTAATATCTTTGTTTCTTTCAAGGTTCTTCAATCTTGGAAATTTAGCCCCTATACACCTCTCCTCCAACCAATTGTCTTGCCAAAATTTAATGCTATTGCCGTCTACAACTTCCCATTTGAATCCATTTCTCACTAATTCACTCATCTCATTATTCTCATCACCATTGAAACAATATCCTCCCAAAATTTGGATAATCTCCTCCTTCTAATATTTCCAAGACCCACCTTTTTCTCTCCACCATAGTATTTCTCCACTAGGACTTTCTTCCACAACCCAATGGAATTATCTTCAAATCTACCCC